GGAGCAACAGCAGCAGCACTAGCAGCTGGAGCAGTAGCAGTAGCAGCAGCAGCAGCAGTAGCAGTAGCAGTAGCAGTAGCAGTAGCAGTAGCAGTAGCAGTAGCAGTAGCAGTAGCAGTAGCAGTAGCAACAGCAGTAGCAGTAGGAGTAGTAGTAGTAGTAGTAGTAGTAGCAGTAGTAGCAGTAGTAGCAGGAGTAGTAGTAGTAGTAGTAGCAGTAGTCGTCGTCGTCATAGCCGCTGTAGTCATAGTAGCGGGAGCAACAGCAGCAGCACTAGCAGCTGGAGTAGGAGCAGTAGTGCCGTCATCGTCGTAACCGTCGTCGTCGGAGCAGTGGTGGTAACAACCGCGCCATGCTAGCAACTGCTATCCCGTTAATATATATATATATATGCAGAACATGATTTTCGAAAATCTACGGCCATTGGCAATGCCTATAGTCTTGTTACACAAGGTACGAACATTTCCTTTGTCTGTTTGCACGAACGGCTTGGTCTTCAGGGGAGAAGGCGGGCGCAGTGCACATTGACCAACCTGACTGTTGCTTGTTCGTAATATAGCAACTACATGCAACTAGAGGCTCATGGAATAGTCTTGCTCAGAGTCAAGATTTGTTTCGAGTTTCAAACTTCTGGATGCGCGATTTGCGATTGGGGAGACTCCTGCGGCCGTCAAAAGACCTGAGAATGAAAAAAGTGCCACACTGCTCCTCATCCCTGGAATGAATCGATGTGTGTTCCCTGACCGTCAGCTGCCTTCATCTGCTGCTGCAGCTCCAGATTCTTTGCCTGGGTTGAGTCTGCATGTCCATCTGTCTGTTAGAATAAATGAGGGTGTTTCTCAAAGATGCGAATGGGCACATGATGACTGCACTCCTGCGTAACGACTTCACTGTTCTTTTGTAAGCGCACATGAATTAGCACTACTATATACACAAGAATCACGTAAGCGCCATCAGGCTGCAGAAGCAGCGGCCCATGCAGAGGCAGTGTCCTGCATTGCTAACTTCACACCAATGACAGTTTGACCTCCTCATGCAGAAGCTAGGAATAATTGCTAATGCACTGGAGTTTGGGGCTGAATGACAGGCACCCTGCTTGCAGAGCGAGAGGCAGCATTGCAGCATCACCAGAGCCCCGAAAAAACCATGTGTCAGAGGGCTGGGCTAGGTGAGGGGATGAGACAGAACGTAAGCAGCAAATCGTTATGTAGGCAGGACAATGGCATCGACTTAAGCTCTTTACCTTGAAGCGTGAATGCGGGCGACTCCCGTTAGTCTAAACTGGTGGCCCAGATGTGCCTTGGAAATCCTCTAAACCAGGAGATGAGCTGCAAAGTATGTTGTCCGATTGGGTGGAGTCTCACGCTGATGTAGCTGCTGAAGGCATGTAGCGGGTAATCATCATATGACCAACTTCTAACTTCTTTCTCTTCGGTGTCTTATCTTCATACGTAACTACACCACCAGGGCAACCATCTCAATAGTCAAATGCTAAGAGAGTGCTCGTAGTAGTACTTGACATACAAAGTCACAAAGTGAGAATCTTATGCTATTGACAAAAGGAGCTGTCCTGAATACCAAGGACATGCAAACGACAAAGGTTGCAGCCAGGAGCAACCATAAGCAATGAAATGCGCCAAAGACAGATTGAACATGTCGATAAACTTCTCTATGCAGGTGGATGTTTGGATGCATAACAGAAACGGTACCTGTTCATAGCCATGAAGTAACTTGCCACCAGAACCACGGTGATCTCTAAATGCTGTGGCCTGCAGCTTGCGCTGGACTTCTGCCAGCTCACGCTGCAACTCTTCTGCGGACGGCCTGAGCTCATCCATCTGGTTGGACCTGAGTTCATGGGGCTTATGGGGCTGAGGGGTTTGGGGGTTAGGGATTTAGGGATTTAGGGGTTTAGGAGTTTAGGGGCACCGAATGACCACTTGGTTTTTCATGAAAATCTGCTCCCAGCTCTTCTGCCTCAGCCCTAGCGGCCCTAGCCGAGAATGTAGACAAGAAGCAGCTACTGCAACAGCAAGCCATCCTGCCACTGAGATGCCAAAAGTTACGATCGAGACCTTAGGCTAGGTTGAGTACTAGGGAAAAACGACGCCGCAGCGAAGAAACGATCTGCTCCGAGAAACTCTGGGGACATGGTGCTTCGACTTCGAGCAGACGGAGAGAGACAGAGAGACAGGACACACCTAAACCCTAAACCATAAGCCGTAACTAAACATGATTGCACCGGTTGCCGGCGGGGTGCCCAGGGGTGGCGTCTGCTTGTGGCGCCAGGCAGCTTCGCAAGTGGTTGGCCTCAGAGGCTTACGGTGCCGAGTTGAGGTTGAGAGGATGTTTGGGCAAAATGTCCTGAAACGAGCATTCTTTGACACTTTCGGCAGCTCCTATAAATCCGAAAGACCTCGAGGGCTTGTACACACAAAACCTAGAAAGCGCTCCCAAAATTCAACCCTAAACCAGAGGCAAGTCTAAACCCGTAACATCCCCACAGCCTCCATAAACCACCAAAGCGCTAAACTAACTCCGTGCCGAGCCTGAAACCCCGCAAAACCCGCCATGCCTCTGGAAAAACCAATGCAAACGCCTCAGAAAACCCTTACAGGCCCCTATTCTACCTCCTGATAAAGCCAATCATAAACCCAAATCAAAGCCCCTTTAGAAAACCCTAAAGCCCCGAAGACCTAAAACTAAACCCTAAAACTGAAACCCTAAAACCCCCTAAAACCGCCAAAACCCCTAAATCCCCTAAAACCCCTAGAACCTGAAAACCCACAAAACCGCGGAAGGCTCAAATCTCATGGTATCGGCCTCGGCCCTGGAGGTCTCCAGAAGCCCTTGCAGCTTCACCACCTCTTAGGCTTTGGGGCTTTTGGGGCTTAGGGCTTTTAGGGCTTTTAGGGCTTGTTGGGGCGTTTTGAGGCTTTTGGGGCTTAGGGCTTTGAGGGCTTCTTGGGGCTTTTGGGGTTTAGGGCTTTTAGGGCTTCTTGGGGCTTTTGGGGTTTAGGGCTTTGAGGGCTTTTAGGGCTTCTTGGGGCTTTTTGGGGCTCTTGGGGGTTAGGGTTTAGGGCTTTTTGGGGCTGCCAAGGCCTCAAGCGTTGAGGGTTAAGGGCTTAGGGTCTCGAAGTTCAGAAGCCAGAAGGACTTTGGTTTACAGGCTTGGGGTGAGTTTAGGGCTTGAGGGTTTAGGGTTTGGGGCTTCCTTAAAGCCTTTAGCTTGTCGGCGCTCGCCCAGGGTTGAGTTGGTTTGAACCCTTTATACGTTTGACTCTACCACGGTTCTTTACAGACTGCAGGGTTTAGGTTTAAGACCCGCATAGTGTGAGGGCTTAGGTGACGGTTTGAAGTTTGAACGGGGCTTCGCACTTTCAGATGGAGGCTCCTGTGATTTACGCCGTAGGAGTAAAATGTGTATCGTCATCTGACTCCGGGACGACGGATACACCGGGTTTGTAGGTTACTGAACCCATAACCCAAAACCCCTAAACCCTATATTACCTAAATAATCTGAGGACATGGAGGTTATCCCCTACATTAACCCCCCGCAGTCTTCGCTGAAAGCAAGAGCCTCCAGCTTGGCTGCCTGCGCAAGCGATCGCTGTGCTTCAGCATCCGCCTTCAAAAGTAGCTCGAGAGTGGGGCCGTGCCAAAGATACTCTAAAATATTATGCCTTTCGGCCCTCTGGCCGCTGCTGCGAGTTGTTTTCGGTTGGGGGCGAAAGGCTCTTCAGGACTCTCCAACATGTCTCAAACTACTATTTTTTCGTTTTTGCTGGTGCTGTTTGATTCTGATTCTGCATGTTGTCGTCTATCCCACAGAATGCCTCAACGAAGGTCTACACTTTGGATTCTGTCTGCTCGTTTGATCGGACCTTGCAGACATTCAGCCAATAATGATTCGCACTGGGTATCAGTCGTTCTTGCAGCGCTCTTGAATCGGATCTCGGACACGCGTACTATCGTGTCACAGAATTCTGACAAAGCCCAAAAACCCTTACTTCTGTCATCCAGAAACAGGCTGTGATCATTTCCGGAAGGGCCCTCAACCCTCTCTTCCCACCTCTGCATGAGCCAGCCGCGCCTGCTTGGGGCTCAAGGCTCAAGCTTCCGGCCGTGGCTGCGGATTGATCTTTGCTGCGACTGCCCTTTGATTATGATGTCTCTGCTGTAGATGATGACGGTGATAAGCGGTATAGCTTATAGATACTGATCCTCACATTCATCTTCAACACGGTGCATCTGGCACTGCAAAGCGCTGAAACGGAACATTCAAACCAGGATCTGCGGACTCCCAGCCGTAGCCCGAATCCCGAGCCAAAAGACGAAGCTTGTACCCCAAGGCCATCCACCCAGACCTTCGAATATCTCTTAATTAAGGAGTATATTGTAAATCATATTAGGGATCCTACTGCAATCTAAAGTTTATTCCTTGATTGAGGGATGTTTCCAAAGACAAGCACATGAAGCATGAGGACCGCCAACCCTCCCAACAAAAGCAGGCGCTTCCAGGCGCTCGATGTCGCCGGGGGGCCGTTGCGCTGCCTGATTGCAGATTCACTTGCATTTGCTGTAGCAACTCTTGTGTTTCGCTTGTAGCATCCAGAAAGGGACACTCACAATTCAATCGTGCCAATGTCCCCTCAGAGCCCTTGCACCCTCACCTTCACCCCCATGTCACCATGTCAACCCCTGAGTTACATGTGAACTTAGCTGAGACGACATGGGCTTTCGAGGGTTGCGGCAAGTCAATAAACGAAACCTTCAAGCCCAGGCTGCGACAAAGCCTAAAGCCTGAAGCCCTCAAGCCTGAAGTTTGCAAGCCTAAAATGCCCTAAACCCTGAAGCCCAGAGCCCAAAAAGCCGCGACGAGCTCAAAAACAACAGAGGAACTTTTCAGAGACCCTGCCTCCGGTCCCTTGGAGACTCGGCTCCAGGCTACGTGCTTCCGCTCTACCTCCCAGGGAACTAGCTCACTAAGATTTGTATTTCTGTGAGAATATATCTATATATATATATATAGATATAGATAGATATATACATATATATATATATAATATTCATATATATATATATATGTGCACATACATGCAGGGCTGCTTCAAGTTTGGATGTCCCTGCAAGTCATGCCAAGTTACCTGCATGTCCGCTCTCTCTCTCTCTCTCTCTCTCTTCCTATAGTCACACTTCGAGGTTTGCTGGCCACTTCCCACTTTGCCTTGCCTCGTCATCAGCGCTACGTCTCTCCCAAAAACTGTGAAAATGACCCAGAGAGGGAGAGAGACACAGACAGAGCGAGAGATACCCTAAACCCCTAAACCCTAAACCCGGAACCCTAAACCTTGAACCCTCAACCCTAAACCCTAAACCCAGAACCCTATAAACCCCTCAACCCTAAAACCCTCAACCCTAAAACCCTTAACCCTAAAGCCCTCAACCCTAAAGCCCTGAACTGCGAGCACCTCGGCCTTTGCGGCTTCGAGACGCGACCGCAGCTGGGCCGCCTCTGCCTGGAGCCGCTCGGGGGCCTCAGCTGTCGCCTTTATGGATTTAGGGGTTTAGGGTTTAGGATTTAGGGGTTTAGGGTTTAGGGGTTTAGGGGTTTAGGGTTTAGGGGTTTAGGGTTTAGCTTGCTTGGCCATATGTTTTTTGTAACATTGAAGTCAAAGGTTAGGATTGTTTTGGGTCAGGGTTTAGTAGGTAGGGCCTGGGATGGTTAAGTGTTTTTTCGGTTTCAGCGCTGGGTTGAGGGTTTCAGGGTTGACAAACGCCTTGGCCCAAATGGTGAGCTACCAAGATGTAGGGTCGGGTAGAGAGATTTCAGGCCGTGGCTTGTAGATTGGGAGGGCTTCTCTCAAGAAGGCTAAAAAGTTTCCTTGCAGGAGGGTTTGAGCTTTCAGGACATCAGCCTGTACACATGCATTGAAATGACGTTTGATTTATCCCCAGGCATCGGCGATAAGATTGGCAACAGAATGGGTGACGACGGAGCTGGGCACTGATCTGTGTAGATGATGATCTAACGCGCTGGGCAGCAAGGCCCTGCGGGGGGAAGTCTGCCGCAAGATGTGTGCACGAGTGTGACCGAGTACGCCGCACTCTTCGCTGGCAATGCCACCTGCGATGGAAGCTGTAGCACAAGAATGCTAAGGAGCAGGAAGAGGACACCACGAGATGGAATGTCGGGACGACGATAGGATTGATCTTGATCATGACGACAACCATCGCGACAGTGCAACACGAGCAATGCCAGAATCAACCGGGACGAGAATGAGGGATGGTGATGATGACTGGCATCAACATGAAGCGGACACTCAGGAGAAGGCTGATGAGCCGATGAGGAGAAAGCAAGTAGATGAGCGGTGCTGATGAAAAAGCCCTGAAGGGAATGGAGATAATGAAGGTCGTCGCGGTGCTGCTACTTTGCTGCAACTGCTGACTACTGGTACTGCTTGTACCACCTACGATTACTGCCACCACTACTATTACTACTACTACTACTACTACTACTACTACTACTGCTACTACTACTACTACCACCACCACCACCACCACCACTACTACACTACCGCTACTACTACTACTACTACTACTACTACCACCTACTACTACTACCACTACTACTACTACTACTACTACTACTACTATACGACACGACGACGACAACTAGACGGGCCTCTTCCCAGGCGCCCTGGCGCCGCAGAAGTCGTGAGCCGCGGAGCGCGCTGCCGGCGGCGACAGGCTGCGGCCAGGGTGCAGCGTGGAGGTTCAGGGTTTAGATCCTAGGGGGATCCTAGATGCCACTGCATCCTCCAATCAGGAGGCCCATATTGAGAAAC